TTTGCCAAATTTTCCAGAATGAACACGCGTGTGTGCGGCGAAAACAACAGGACTGCATTACTTGGATCCACTCTCGTGGATCTTTTCGTGGGTAGCTCAGCTAACACGATCAAAGGAGGTAACATCAAATAACCCTAAATAATTGGATAGATCCGTAAACATTGCTTCACCCTTTCGTGTACTCGCAGTGCACACAAAACGAAGCCAAAGGCGCTTGGCTCGAGGGTGGATTCTACGGTTGAACCTTAATCAAATCGTCTATCAACCTTATTCAATTTTAATTGCCAGTCAGAGTGCACACGGGCAGCTCCTCGCCGGTGTTAATAATGAATGATAAACAAACGATTGTGACTTGGAATTCAAGTAATTTCAATTTCAACCGCAGAGACGGCGATAATTTCAACTAAGAAACTCTCTTCTTCAACCGATGGAAAAATCAAATTTCGAACGTGTGCAAGCGTACGTTACACTATTATTATTATCAAATTATATCGCAATATTTTGCAAAGAGGAAATTGAAATTATCGAAAGTCGTATTTATACTGCCACGTATATTAGAAAGCTGCTACTTTGTTTGTGCAAATTCATACACATATGAAAAACAAACAGAATACAATTTGTTTCATCTACGAAAATATTATAATAACTACCGTATTTTATAAAATATATATTAATATATATATATATATTATCAGCTCGGCAAAAATCAATGACGATATCAACTACTTCAGCAAGAAAACATAAGAATTTATGTAAAAACACAAATAAATATTCATAATACGTTCTTACGTTGTGTCGCGAAATTCCAGTTCATCATCATTTTGCATTATTAGTATTATAACTCCTTAATAAAACATTTAAGACCATATGTTCATATAACATTTTTTCTTACTTTTGCTTCTATAATACGCTATCAAAATTATGCCGGAAAAACTGGGACACCCTGTATATATATATAAAGATCTTCTGGTAATTATCTACGGAAAAAAAACATTTTTTATTTTAATCTACTTTCCTTAACTCTCATGTCAGTGTCACGAACGATTTTAAAAACCGTGTTGAACAGTACTAGATTAATCTAGTCTGACTCACAACCTATTCTCTCCTATTCACACTAAAAATGGTCGCAATCGAAGATTCGACTTTAATTCAGTAACCACACTGAATATAGAAATCGTCAAGCTCTTCATCTCAAAGAAACGAAATATAGTACTTACAAATTCTAAATCAATCTTCAAAACAAAATACCCGTAAACAATTAAACGTGGAGATTCATTCGCCGCGATCTCTTGTTAGCAGCTTTTTTGTTCCAAAAAGAAAAAGAGAAAAGAAATAACTGTCTCTGACTGCTTCGAGATCAACGAGACAATTATAAAGTTACAGTAGGCTAAAATTGAAACTCGCTACGCGCGTCATCGTCATGTTCCCTTTTTTTCTTTTTTTTATCGTCTTCTTCTTCTCGCGGAAACTGATGATAGCTGTCACCTTTGGCGTGTTCTCCTGTAAAGCGGAATCTCCCGCTCGTTATTACTTTCCGCAACTTTCAAGACGTTTCACGTTGCAACAATGTTTTGCACGGGAATCTTTATAACTAGTTAGCCAAAGTTTCTTCAAATCGAAGAACGTCATGGCCAGTACCGATAAGTTTACGAACTTACGTAATATACATCTATATATATATATATATATATATATATATATATATATATATATATTTGCTGACAATGGCTAGCTTCTTTCTTTCAACAAATAACGTTCACTCTTTCCTCGATGCGTGCGTACGTGTGTCGTTTAATTGCCTCGCGAGCTTGTTAACCCCTTTTCGTTCTAATGAAACGAGCACGAAAATAATAAGCAAGGGGGAGGAGTGAAACAATCGATTTCCTTGTAATTTCTCTCGTTTCGTCGTGTTCGGCGGCCCCGATCAGTTCATTAAAGCGATTAAAACGTAATCGTTTAATAAAGCGCACCGGAGGCGTGTAATTCGTGTTTCTTTGAAAGAGCCTCGAAGATCGTTATTATACGATATTTATTTAGTCGACGATGTGATCGACTGTGTGTAAGCAATTTGTACATTTGCGTGAACGCGACATTGTCATTTCAACAATTTCTTCTCAGTGTGTTTTGCGAAACGAGCTTCGAGACATTTGTCTGACATTTCCACGATTTTACGAAAATTGAAACAAACTGAAGATCCTTAATTATCGCACAGTTTTTATTTCGTACAGTGTATTATTCAATTGACTCAAGCTTGAAGTAAGATTTTCAGCACAAATGTGTGTATACTACTTTGTTTCGAGTTACGTAGACGAGTTAATTTAATTAAAAATAAAAAAAATTTAATTTAAATTTGAAATAATTATTATCTGTAAAATCACGGATTGTTTTCTCCGGCTACTTTGTTAATTCTAGTATTAATATTGATAATAATGAGAAAGAATTTATGAAAATCGTAATCCTCATATTTTTCATTCTGAATGAGTGACAATCCTGTATTTAAAAGACAAAAAGAAAATGCTGAATTAAAAATTACAACATACATCGTGAAATTTAATACGACATTTCCATACGAGATTTTCCATAAATGCCAGAAATTAAGTGTACACGTTAAACGATGGTATCAGAGAAGAATGTTTTCTGCTTCGTAAGAAGTCAAATTTGAGCTACATCTCTCAAATTTTTTAAAATTGTCGAAGTTATCGAGACAACAGAAACTAAATATCGTAGAGATGAAATATAAATGATATTCATTTAATAACAATGCCAGTGATAAAATGATAGACAATCAGACAAGACAGAGAACACAGATTAACAAATCTGAGCTCTCTATAGCTACATCTCTCAAATCTTTTAAAATTGTCGAAGTTATCGAGCCAAGAGAAACTAAATATCGTAGAGATGAAATATAAATGATATTTATTTAATAACAATGCCAGTGATAAAATGATAGACAATCAGACAAGACAGAGAACACAGATTAACAAATCTAAGCTCTCTAGAGCTACATCTCTTAAATCTTTTAAAATTGTCGAAGTTATCGAGCCAAGAGAAACTAAATATCGTAGAGATGAAATATAAATGATATTCATTTAATAACAATGCCAGTGATAAAATGATAGACAATCAGACAAGACAGAGAACACAGATTAACAAATCTGAGCTCTCTATAGCTACATCTCTCAAATCTTTTAAAATTGTCGAAGTTATCGAGCCAAGAGAAACTAAATATCGTAGAGATGAAATATAAATGATATTTATTTAATAACAATGCCAGTGATAAAATGATAGATAATCAGACAACACAGATTAACAAATCTAAGTTCTCTACAGCTACATCTCTCAAATTTTTTAAAATTGTCGAAGTTATCGAGCTTCGTTTGCCAAGAGAAACTAAATATCGTAGAGATAAAATGTAAATGATATTTATTTAAAAACAATGTCAGTGATAATATGATAGACAATCAGACAAGACAGATTAACAAATCTAAGTTCTCTACAGCTACATCTCTCAAATTTTTTAAAATTGTCGAAGTTATCGAGCTTCGTTTGCCAAGAGAAACTAAATATTGTAGAGATAAAATGTAAATGATATTTATTCAAAAACAATGTCGGTGATAATATGATAGACAATCAGACAAGACAGAGAACACAGATTAACAACTCAAATAAACTCTCTTTAACGACACAATCAACACTTTCCTAACAACACAAACTCTCGACGCATTCTCTCCATTTTCAAAACGAAAAAACGCAACTGAAAATATAAACAGCGACTTACTATACTACAATATAGCGAATGAGCCGAAACAGCGCGCGAAAACGCGGGAGGAAACAACGTCATCTCACTAGCGAAAATCCGACAAACAGTCTTCCGCGAGAGTCAAGTCCAATAGTAATAATTACAAGCAGTTACAACAGGTCTGCTCGCTTAATTAACATAAGCTGCGCCTTGCAATTCGAACATCGACGGAGAAATGAAAGTTGAAACGGTTAACGCGTCGACTGGTCGATTAGACGAGAGATCTCGGCGAAAGGGAGAGCGAAACGGAGGAAGTTCCCAGGCTCGGCGAGCTCGTCGCCGGGACGACAAAATGGAGGATGAGGGTAACGATAGAGTGCAGCCGCTTACGTGTAAACACGGGCACTTTGCGCGAGCTGCACGATCGCTGAACGAACACCGAAACTTTCAAGATTTCGCCCCAAGAGTTCCGCTTGCACGCGCGTTTGCGCGCAAACAAACGCGGCAACGGCAAGTAAATTAATTTCGGCTTGAATATTTTGCTTGGCCAAGATAAGTGCACTTAACTTGCGCTTGTTGAAGCAAAGTGTTCAACGTGAACGTGGTTGCCGCGCGAGCAAGTTGTCTTCCGGGGCTGTCTGTCTGTCGCGAGCGATTTCCTCGAATTAAATCGCACGAAGGGACGACAAACTGCTGGAATTGCACGCGCGATTCTGTGCGAAAGAAGCGAACTGCTTGAGCACGAGATCTATGTGCGTGTATGTTGGTCGATTTTGTAAATTAAAACCGTTCGTTTGCAATTTCACGTTCGAAGAAATGGGATATATGTTTGTGCTACAAATTGAAACGTACGGAGGAATTGTAATTGCCAGACTGTGCATATTTATGCAATTTTACATTCGTACGAATTAAAATGTGCAGAGAAATGATAATTTCCAGACCATGCATATTTATGCAATTTTATATATTTATGAATATAACCGGCGGGGGATGAAACAGAAATTTGTTTCGTACGATGAATATCTATGCATGGTTTTACATATTATATGTATATATATATTTTGTGTATTTTGTGTAGCTTTGCATAAGCATTCGTAGTCCAATAATTGCGAGTGTAACAACTACATAACGTAGTAACAAGTAATAATGACAATAACAAATAATCTTCGTAAATTGAGAATCAACGAATGAGGGATGAGAATTGTGAGGATTACTTTTTGAGAAGAAAAATGAAAAGAAAAGACGGTTCGTGAAAACTTACCACGAGCACAAGATGGAATCCTCCTCCGATGTTACAGGCAGCCTAAAACAGAAAGAATTTTCTTCTGTGAAATATATGAAAACCAGAGGATTCCAATTAGTGAAACAAATCTAATTTCTACGTTCTAGCAATTTCTTTTAAAATATAATATAATATAATACAATACAATGCAATACAAAATAATATAGTATAGTATAGTATAGTATAGTATAATATAGTACAGTATAGTATAATATAATATAATATAAGATAACATAACATAACATAATATAATATAATACAATATAATGTAATATAATATAATATAGTATAATATAATATAATATAATATAATATAATATAATATAATATAATATAATATAATATAATATAATAGATAAAAATATTCGAGGTATTGATACAGTCTAAGTTATTTTTTACTTTAAGTTAAGCATGTAGATTTTTATTTTCTATTATACTAATAGCACATAGTCTAATTTAGTTTATATTTAATAGTTTTAGAAGTTGATTCCATGAACATTTAAATAATGCTCTTCTTTATAGTTATTTGATCAAATAATAAAACTCTTCAAGACAAATGCTTCTTATTAGTCTCGAATTCGACGACTCAGGTCTTTCGTTGTTAAGACTCTTCGATCGACCAAACATTTTCAAAATTATGCAGAATTTATTACAAAAAGAATATCTCTTTCAGAGAAGTGATGTCGACGTTTTTATTAAACACACTGTATATATTATAATAATTGTAATATAGCTCCTTTTTGCGAACAGTGAATTAAAAGACTTCGAGACACAGTGTCGGTGCGGAATTTCTGAAGGTTAAATAAATCGAATAATAAATCCAAAAGAGTCCAAATTTATCAAATCTTTAATAAAAAAAAAAAAAAGAAAGAAAAACGCAATAAACAGAAATAAAGTAATCTAAGAACGATATCGAAAGAAACGGGCAAAGAATGAAGGTAACAGCGAGCGAAAAGAGACGAGTCAAACCCAAACTAATCTAAACCTAACAAATCTTTAATTTAAAAAAAAAAGAAACAAAGCAATCTAACAACGATATCGGAACAGAACGAATGAAATTGAAAGAATAAATCCGAGCTCTACGAAAGAGGGGCAAAGGATGAAGATGACAGCGAGAGCGGAAAGAAATGGATCAAACCCAAACCAATCTAAACTTCCCAAAAATCTTCAAACTTACCAAATCTTTCATAAAAAGAAAAAAAAAGAAAAAAAGTAATCTAACAACGATATCGGAACAGGACGAATAAAATTGAAAGAATAAATCTGAGCTCCGCGAAAGAGGGGCAAATGATGAAGATGACAGCGAGAGCGGAAAGAAATGGACCAAACTCAACCCAATCTAAACTTACCAAAAGACTCTAAATTTACCAAATTTGAAACCAGGAGACTCCAAACTTACCAAATCTTTAATAAAAATAAAAATAAAAAGGAAATCAACCTAACAACGATATGAGGAACAGAACGTTGAAAGAATAAATCCGAGGTCTGTAAAAGAGGAACAAATGATGAAGATGACATCGAGAGCGGAAAGAAATGTAAACTTACCAAAAGACCCTAAATTTACCAAATTTAAAACCAGGAGACTCTAAACTTACCAAATATTTAATAAAAAAAAATATAAAGCAAAGCAATCTAACAACGATCTCAGGAGCAGAACGTTGAAAGAATAAATCCGAGGTCTGCAAAAGAGGAACAAATGATGAAGATGACATCGAGAGGGGAAAGAAATGTAAACTTACCAAAAGACCCTAAATTTACCAAATTTAAAACCAGGAGACTCTAAACTTACCAAATATTTAATAAAAAAAAATAAAAAGCAAAGCAATCTAACAACGATATCAGAAACAGAACGTTGAAAGAATAAACCCGAGGTCTGTAAAAGAGGAACAAATGATGAAGATGACATCGAGAGCGGAAAAAAATGTAAACTTACCAAAAGATCCTAAATTTACCAAATTTAAAACCAGGAGACTCTAAACTTACCAAATATTTAATAAAAAATAAAAAAAATAAAAAGCAAAGCAATCTAACAACAATATCAGAAACAGAACGTTGAAAGAATAAATCCGAGGTCTGCAAAAGAGGAACAAATGATGAAGATGACATCGAGAGCGGAAAAAAATGTAAACTTACCAAAAGACTCTAAATTTACCAAATTTAAAACCAGGAGACTCCAAACTTACCAAATCTTTAATAAAAATAAAAATAAAAAGGAAAGCAACTTAACAACGATATGAGGAACAGAACGTTGAAAGAATAAATCCGAGGTCTGCAAAAGAGGAACAAATGATGAAGATGACATCGAGAGCGGAAAAAAATGTAAACTTACCAAAAGATCCTAAATTTACCAAATT